AAAACTGTTATCAAGGGGCTGTCTATTAATTACATCAACAATTTTTTGACAATTTTTACCTCCCCCCTCACACGTTTAAATTATAATCATATTTCAAATTAATAAAATTCTCCTCACTTTAACATTATACCTAATAAAAATTAATTGAAAGCTAATTACTTTTAATAAAGTCTAGAAAAACAAAAAAAGCATTTAACAAATTGTATAAACCAGGGCATCCTTTTGAGACAAAAGAGTCAAAAGTTACAATATACAAAGTTTTTCAGTTTTTAAAGAGCCACAAACATCTTTGTTATAATATTATATTTAGAGATGCGGTGTCCCGAAAAGGACTCCGGATTTATATGTCACAAAAAGAATACTTCTTCCTAATTTTTGGTATCTGGGAACTCTAATAATATAAAAATGCTCAAGGATTGGTAAAAAAGTTAAGACTTTTAGGTTAGAGGTTCAATCTCTTTTTGAGTCCTTAGGTATAATGGCAGCTAGGGCTTTGGGATTCCGGACTTAAAACAATATGTTTCAAGTTATTAAATTTCATGAGTTTTTTTTATTTACCAGATCATAAATCAACCAACATGTTCAGAGCTTTTAGACACCAGAGACCAGTAAAAAATAAAGATATAAAACCGGAATCCAATCAATGATTAGCTATTTTAGGGGAAATTTTAAAAAATTCAAGGAAAAATAACTTGTTTTAGCAAAAAAATTACATTTAGTTGGCAAGATTTAAAAAACTATTTCGAGCGCTGAAATAGCTTCATCTTGACATCAAAAAAATCACAAGAGGCTTGCGAGCTACAGGTTGTACCCCTTGTATAAACGTTTTAACAATGTAATGTAGACAGTACTTACATGAATCTTTTTTTTTTCCTTTTATAACTGTTTGTTTTGGTTCTTTCTTGTTGTTTGAATGACACATTGTTTTAGCTTGACATTTTAAAAATTCTTTTTAAAGATTTCCTTGTTCATGTTTGTATGCAGAAGAAGTTAGTTCTGGAAGATGCTTTTAGAGATTCGGGTTAATTATCAGATGAGGATGACTCAACTGGATGTATAAACCCCAATTTAATACTTTCATTAAGAGGAAAGCCTGATGGTTTGAAGATATTTCTTTTGAAGGGATATAAGCCAATTTTTTGGAAACTGTTTGTGCATTTTCAACAGTCCCTTTCCATAAATAAGCTCTTCAAAAAACCTCCCCTATACCATAATGTATAAATGAGCGACCTGTGCAAAGATTGTTTTCCACAATATGCAGTTTTGAACAATCCCAAAAATGAAACATCAAGGAGCATCATTTTGTAGCTTGTATATGGGTGAATTGTAATAATTTCTACGTAATTCTGACGTAAATGCTCATACGCGGTGCTCTGTGATAAAACCGTAAGAACTTGTTAAAGCACCAAAATAAAAAAAACTTCCCCTCTTCTGTTCCTGCAGGCTAGCTACTTGTCTTTTACATTTAAGAGCGATTATTTGGTTCCTTTGTGCTTTATTAAAGTGTGTTTTTTCGCAATTATCATTAATTTTAGTTATGGCAGATTCAAAAATATCAAAAAAAGAATTTACAGCTTCTGGATTAAAACCAATAGCTCGAGCTTCTGGTCTTTTCCCGGAGACTTCTTTGGCAGTCGAAAAAGTTGTTTTAATATTATTCCTTCTTGCTATTTGATAGGCTCTCATAACTTCTTCGACGGATCTCATAACTTCTTCGACGGATAAACCGAAGTATTTTTTTTCCAATAGTAGACAGTGTTCTGCTAAATCTTGTGCTATATCTGGTGGTTCTTCTGGTTTCTTCCTCAAGCGTGTACTTGCAGCTTCTTCGTCGTTCTTGTCAGATTTAGCATATCTTTCCAATGTAGTTTGAGGCATAATGAAAACTTTAAAATATTTGTTTAGTCTTCATTGCTGCTTTTTTCATATTTTCTTGGTTTTATTTTGGAAGCAATCTAATAGAAAATTAAAAATATAACTTATATAAGTAAAATAAAAAAAAAGCATCCCATAAATGAATAAATAATCTCCTATTATGGGGAACACCATTTTAAGTAGCTTACAATTTCCAAAATAGGCAATAATAATGATGTGCAAATAAGTTGGATTTTACCAGGAAGGTCTAGTTCATAAGCAATTTTAAAAATAAAAACAAGGAGTCTATTGCAAGGGAAATAAGCAATATAATAATATTTGCATAAATATCTTATCTTTTTGTCACAAAGGATTATCAAATAGAGCTAGAGACTAGCTACACGTATATATCCTAATATCCGTATATTGTTATATTATTGTAGCTAACTGTAACATACGACAAGTCTGTATCTATTAGATAGCTAAATATCGTAGTTTTGTACCTATCAACAGATAGTTGAGTTGAAACAGTAGTTTAGTTGTTTTAGATAAAACTACTAAAATAAAAAATTTAAAAAATATATATAATCACAAGCAAAAAATCAAAATAATTTGGTTGCTAGATATAGAAACTTAGGGGTCTTATTTAAAAATGTGCGTTGTGTCAAGTTGGTTTACAGAGCCTAGTAAGTACATTAAATAAAATAAAATATTTTGTATTAACTAGTATAAGTACACGGCAAAAATATATGATATTTACTAAAATAAGTATAAAGTAAAATTATAAATAAGTAGTAAAATAATATGCTGCAAAACATATGCCAGCTTATCTAGCTGTGGAACCTCGTAGCCAAGTCGCTGTCTTTATTTCTAGCTAGTCACTAGCCAATTTCCGAAATGATAAGATTAAACTTTTGTATGAGAGATGAAGTGTTAAATTTGCGTTTATTAATAACATTGTTAGAAATTTTCTGAACGTCCCTAGAACCTAAAGTCTAAAATAAGACACGGGGTTTAGTAATCTGAAAATAACTAACCATACAGTTACTTTTTGCAATGGTAAAAAGAAGTTTTTTTCTCAAGAGGTTTGTAAAAAGAGTAACCGCACAAACTCAAAACAATCGTGAAGCAGCGGTTAGGGCAGTAAATTTAAAATCAAATAATTGGATGTTCAATTCCTGCTCTGATATTATAGACAAAAATGGTAAAAAAGGCGTGAACAAAAAATTTTAATAATAGAAAAGCAAAGAGAAAGGTGATTAAGTAAGGTAGGGTAAAATGAATCAGATGATTCAACCAGATGATTCAAACCTGATTTTACAACAAATATTGAAAATACCTATGTTGATACGTAAATGTATGACCTGTCCAAACGTGAGATGGCTTGGTCCGAGTTAACTTTTGCTATCAATTGCTCAAAATATGTGTTATACAACAAGCAGCAGCTGAGTGAATATATAAGCCTTGCACTTTTGAACAAAATTGTTTTAAAGATACTACAAAAAAATTATACCAAAGTGTGTGCTTTAATTCGAATATGTTCTTTCAAAAATAAATTTAGCCCAGACGAAAGCAATGCTAAACATATTTTACGTCATATAATTACATTAATAAGATAGGCTTAATTTTTTATATTACAACGTACTACAAATGTATTTTATTTAAATAAAATAATATATTAACTTAGTTTTTATAAACATTAAAAATAAGTTTTTCTTTACAAAGAATTTGATCTAAATTCTTTTGCCACTTTTTGTATTTCTACATCATTCGTTGCTTATGTAAAATATATAACTATAAACGATAAGTTTGTTTGTACACTTTTTTGTACACAAAGTTTGTACACTTGGGCCCATTTGTGTCCTAAACCATGTCTTGATCCATCGCATAACACTAAAGGTTTTTTTTCAAAAGTTGCAGATGATATGTCATGAAAATAATAGCATTGAGAACTTATGTGTCTCTGAAGGAAACTCTTTTGCTATAGCCTTCTTATTCAACAATTCTTGGATTGTTGAAACCTCCTTAATCTTTTAATGACAAGCACAGACTGCTGCTAAATTTAATAGTGGTATTTCAAACTGGAAATATTACTATTAAATTATTTTAATAAAAGTAATATTTATTTCAACCTTGAAAATATCTTACTATATTTAATATTAGTTAATATTTAATGCTTATTTATAATTTCTACTTTATATAAAGCATTTAATAATTTAGTTATCAAAAATAAAGTGCCTTATTTGCTTATAGACTAATCGAATTTTTATTTTCAGTTATGGTTGGGACCAAGACTCAACTGTTACATTTAAATTCAGTTTGAACAAGTTGCAAACTCTATAGATGAGCGTATACAGAATAATGGTATATGCTTTTTTGTAGGTACCTTTTAGAATGATATGTTTTTGTAGGTACCTTTTTAGTTGAACTCTTTTTATAACATATTTCTACTTTAACATATTTGTAAGAATATTTTTAAATATCTTAAAAAGTTATGTGTAATTTCTAAATCATCCTGGATTTATGAAATACGTTTTTTTGGAAATATAAAATTTATCAACAACTTCTTTCTAATTAAATAAATACTATAAAGCTTTTGTGGAAACTAAACTAATGCTCAAAAGACATTCTGTGCATACAAAAAAGGTTATTGGTATAACGCAGAAATTTTTAACGGTATGTAAATAGTGTTCAGTACATACTTCGACTAATTTAGGGAAAAACGCAATGGAGTGTTGCTACATCGACTGAGGGTTTGGATTAAGGTAGTGAGTGGGTAAAGAGAATTTTCCACACATTATTCCCGCATTTTACTTGTTGAAATTTCCTCATTTTACCCGTGCCCTACAAATATCATTACATATTTAGGTCATGTTATTACTATATAATTAATTATTTAGGTTTTTTTTTCAAATGGTTATTAACTTTAGGTCATTTAATTAATTTAATTAATATCATTAATTATTTTAGGTTATTTTATTTTTCATATGATTCGCTTAAGGTGGTTTATTCCCTTTAAAAATCACTCCTTGTGAATAATAGCACTTAAAGAACTACAAGGCATTTTAATGTTTTGTTGTAGTCCTTAATTTTTCAATTTGTATATTGACATTGGATGTTTGAAGTATAACTTTAAGAACAAAATGTAAAAGTTACATATTAAATATTACAGATCGCAAACAATACAACAGAATATACGATTGTTCAAAATAAAATCTTTGAATGTTTCTGCTTGAGCCTGTCAACCAAACATAAAGGACTATCAAATGAAGATTCGCATGTTTTGCTAAAACTATTTTGATATAAAGGTGTTTGTACTGATTGTCGAACTTCTTCTAAAGACGGCAAGTTGTTTTTATTTGATAAATCTGATTCAATATTACTCGTGGTCTCATCTAGATAAAATAGTATAGAATCGCCTAAATTCGAAAAATTCATAGAGGTGTTAACATGAAAAATAGGTGTACTCATGTTAAAACAAACGGGAGTTTTGTTTAGATCATTTTTAAAATGAATCAATCTTTCAGGAGTATAAACATTTTCTGTGAAATCTCTTTTTTTTGAACCATTATCAAAAGACTTCATAGGAAACTTTAAATTACGTAACTCTATTCCAAGATTTACGTTATTCATGTATTGAATATTTTCAAAGTTATTAGGTAAATCGATAAAAACATTATCCCCTTTTTTTATCGAAAATTTATCGATATGTTTCGTTATAAGCCAATCCAAACCATCATTTTCTCCAGTAGAATTAGCTTTAAATGAATTGTCAAAACAATATTTATCTGGGGAATATAGGTAGGAATTGGGATTGATTTGTTTAGCTGATGTTTTATCAATAGATATTACGTCATTGTTTGTAGTTATTCTTGGTACATCACAAATGGATTTTTGATCCGTTTGATTTATAGACAGTTCTAGCATTTGCACATTTAGGACAATATCATCATTAAGATTCACTATAAAATCTGTTTCATTACTTTGAGGCATTTTTCTCGTTCGACATTTTTTTTCTAAAAAAAAACACAAAAAGAAAACCAAAAATACATACTTTATAAATGAAAGTATTAATAAAAACTTACTTATTATAAGTTCATGCTTGACAGAGTAATTCTCTGACAAGTGGCCAGCTTAATTATCCTTACTTGTTTATAAGTCAGAATTCAACATATTACAATTTTAATTTTTACTTCTTCTAATTATTTAAAAAATAATAAAAAAAAAAACGTCCTTCATATTTGGACATGATTATCAATCAAAAAAGTGTGAACTTTTACAAAGTGTTTAAATCCATAAATTTCTTAAAAAACATTTTATATTCGTTTTTTAAAAACTAATTCGTTCAAAAACATTTTAATTTGTTTTTTTAAAAAACATTTTTTCATTTAAAGTTAAAAGGTTCTCTACTTAACAAATGAAAATGAAAAAGTCTAATCTATGGAAAACCATGGAGAAGAGTGAGATTTAAATTAAAATTGTTGAAAGGGAATAAAAAATTCTATACCAGCCTTAATCTACAAAGTTATGTAAGAAGTACAAGTCAAGAGGAAGACGAAAGATTTCTACCCAAGGGCCATCACGAAGAAAATCACGGAAAGAGTCCCAGTCAGCTTTAAAGTAGTTGTAAGATGTACGATGATAAGGGGATTCTGACGATAAAGAAGAATGAGATAATAGTTTTAGAGAGACCAAACCATGATCAGAAGCACCTAAGGGTGAGTGTGAAGAAACTGAGCACTGACTAAGATCAGAAACAAGACATAAGTCGAGTATAGAAGGTAAATGATTCGAGTTGTCAGGAAAGTGAGTTGGAAAGTTGATTATTTGAGTTAGAGATTGAGAAAGTCACAGACACTTGAGCCAATTCATTCAGTATGATGAGCATAAGTCATTAACAACAATAATATTGGATGAAGGAAAAAGAGAAATGGCTTAAAGTCAATTTGGAAATAACATTGAAAAGAGATAAAAAAGAGCAACATAGAACAAAGAAAAAGGTGAGTGAAGTAGTACTAAATGTACTGAGTGGAAAGCCCACTAAAGAAAAGCTCATAAAAGAAGTCTGCGGATTCAAACCTAGCTTCCCGACAAATGGGTGAATTTTTAAGATTGTAAATGCAATGCAAGACCAAGCATGAGACTATTGGAGTATTTACAAATTAAAGGAAGAAACCATCAACACTAAGATCACAAGATGAGACAGCTGAACTCAAATTAGTCTCACAAAAAGCAAGTAGGTATGGTGAACTTTACAAGAGATAAAACTCAACAGAAGAAAAGTTAATGATAAATTACACTTGGTGGTGACGATTTTTTGTACTTTTTTTTTGATACTTTAGTCATTTTTTTACATTGGTTAAAGAACTTGACTCGAAGTACAGATAGTATTCAGTACACTATTTAATAGTCTAAGCAATTGTTTCATTGCTATTAATGAACCCTAAGCCGTAACAAAGGGCTCTTAATGTGGCCTCGACAATGCACACTAAAAGTACAAACAGGTACACCATCCCTGTGCAACATGGCACTGTTAGTACTCTGATAATTTACAGCTGCTGATGGAATTAGCCTCTCTGAGAGCTACCACAGAGTTCAGGAAACCTGATTACCAGCCGGCCTCAGAACCATAAAACTAAGTTTTAGAGCTTTACCCTCATTAGGAGATAATAGAATGAGTTGCCTAGTCATAAAAACAGAGGCACAAGCAAAACACATGCATTGAGTCAAGAAGATCCAGCATTCATACTGGAAACAATGTATTATACGCCATTTACGCCAGCCTAATAGATGAAGAAGGGGTGCGAGGCTGGTCAACAGAATCTGTTTACCCCTAATTTAAAAAAAAAAAAAAATAAAAACATTTAGCATGCTTTGAAAAACATTTAGGATGTTTTTAAAAACATTCTAGTCTTTTAATTTGCATTTTTTAGGTTTTTTAAAAAAACAATAAATTTAATTATTGAATTAATTCCTCAATTAAATTAATTTTTTTTAATTTGCAATTTTGTGGTTTTTTAAAAAAACAATAAATTTAATTATTGAATTGTTTTCTCAACTAAATTAATGCGTTTGTTATTAACTGACCTTAATTAAATTGATGCTTTGTTATTAGCTGACCTTAATTTTATCAAATTGATTGTCATAAAGTAGTTAATTACAATTTTTTAAATGCAAAAATGGTAAGATGCGGATCTTAAGGGTGGCCATTGTGGCCATGGCCACATAGTTAAAAGTCAGATTGATTTATTAGAAAACTTATTTAATCTTTACCAAGATCTTATAGAACTTTTGGAATTAAATATGGAAATATTTTTGAATATATGTTATTGAAAACAATTATAAACAATTTTAAGACTTATGTATCATTTTTTTTGTCTAAATGGTTGTTGATAAACTATGTCACGCTAAATTTAAACATTAAAACTTCACGGTATACATTTCCAAAATCTCTGCAAAAGATAGTCAAGAATATTATAAACTCTGCGTGACGTTCTTTACGGATGATCTTATGACCATAGAGATTTAACGGCATTTAAAAATCCAAAAATTTAAAGCTAACTTGGCTGCAATTTAACGGCAGCCAAGTTAGCTTTGGATTTTTTTGCTAAAGAAATGTCCCTCAAAATTTAATCTGCTGTAATTTACGGAACTTGGGTATAGTCCAATAAAATTAAAAAAAATAAATAATAAAATATAGACCTTTCAACCCTGAAAAAAAAAACTTGGCCAGAAAGTTGGTTTTGTCTGATTTAAAAAATATTTAAGTTAAATAGAAGATAACAAATTAGTGTTTTTTATTTGCTACCGTGAGATCATAATTAGTATCATTTTCTATATTTCTTTAGAAACTGGCTTTAGTTATTTGAATTTTTAAATATAGTAAAATATAAATCCATATTTTACTTAAGAATTAGTTGCTTTTGCAATAGAAACATATGTTGTTATGTTGCTTATGCAATAGAAACATGTTGTTATGTTGCTTATGCAATAGAAACATATGTTGCTATGTTGCTTATGCAATAGAAACATATGTGTTAAACTACACTAGACTCATTAAAGAGCTCTCGGAGATAAATTTAATCTTTCCAAGAAAACATGATTCTTACTAATTCAATACAGACATGATTATATATTTTGTACTCTTAACTAAAAGAAATCTTAGTTAAAGAGCATTAAGGTATTTTTTTGTTTCTTATGTTAGATTTTAACTTCATTTATTGCTGTTATTTATTGCTAATTCTATAAATAATACATAAACATATTTTACAATAGGTTTATATTCTTGATAATGACATCAAGAATATAAATCGATTTGAATATTAAATATGAAATTGATTTATTTATTAAACATACAAATAACCTATAAAAGTGATTTAGTTTATCAATAAGAAATTATGGTATATACTAAAATGTAATTGGTAAAAAAAAAAAAAAAGAATTATATATATTTTTGTTAATAATATTACATTTCAGTATAATATACTTATTATTACATTTAAATATATTTTTCTCACTGAAGATGGAAATTTACAACTTTTTTTGATTTTAAATGACAGTTTTAAAAAATGACATCAATTGAATTATTTGAAAACATAACTTTTTACACAAGGTATCATTACTTTTGGAGTTATTTTAATCAACATAGATCTGAACATTCTCAACTTACTAATTTGTTTTTTATCACTGTTTTGTTTAAATGTTCTGACAGTTAATGATAACATGATTTCTGAACTTCTTTTACAAGAAGTGTATTTAAATTGCTTTAATAAAACATTTTCATCTTTCATTTGCCTAATTGCATTATCTAGTGTTATAAAGCAAACTATTGAATCTATCTATTCTGATATCGGTTTTAAAAAGTATCTTTATAAGTGTATTAAATATTTTTTTAAAGCTTCGCACCCAAAAAATAAATTGTCTAATAAATATTTTGTGATTCAACTTAGATAAAAAAAAAGTGTTTTATACTTTAAGCCAAATCATTTTGTGGCACTGTTTAAAGATCTTCCAAAAAATGACCAGGCGTTAGTTTATTTAATACAAATCAGTTAGCTTCTTATCAAATTATGATGTTTCATCATACCATCTAAATGGAGAAAAATTAAAATCAGGAATAAATGAACTGTTATCTTGATTAATAATGTCTAGGTTCCAGATAAATGCTTCCAATTACCTCTAACAGGTAAAAGCAGACATTTTTTATTAAAATTATTAAATGATTTTTCTTGACTATGATACTCTAAAATTGAAGATGGTACATATTGTCTTCCATGTACACTTTTGGTACAAGTTTACCAAACATTATGTAAGTTTACCAAGCATTATGTAAGTTGTTTAAAGAACCATTCAATACAGATGTTAAAAATATTTTTGTATTTTGTACCACATTTACGTCTCCTTAAAAAAAAAAAAAAAAAAAGTCCTAAACTAAGATATTTTAGGACTTTCAGACTCTGAAAGTAATTTTATTAAATGATATTAAAAAAAGTAAGTACTTCTCCATTATTGCAAATGAGGTTTCAAACTGTGCAACGATAGAACAACTTTCTATTGTCATAACTTATTTTGACTTGAACAGTATTATTAAGAATGTTTTTTACGTTTTTTTGAATGCAAAACAGGAACAAGTGGCTTAAACATAGCCACCAACATTCTTAAAACTTTAAAAGGATTTGGTTTAGATATAAGAAATTGCAGAGGCCACTCTTATGATGGAGCTGTTTCAATGTCAGGTGAATACAAAGATCTCTTATAGAAAATGTTAATCCTAAGGCATTATTTGTCCACTGTGTCTCACAACAATTTCCCAACAACTAAACTTAGTTTAGTTGTTGGGAAATGTTACCAAATCCAGCATGTAAAAGATTTGCTTAAGCAAATTATAGACACATCTCTTAATTTTTAAAATTTTCTCCTAAATGAATTAACTGCTTAAAAAAATACCTTCTTCCTGGTCTAAACAAAACTTATTGACACATGCCAAACTTGGGAGGGTAAAAAACTTCGCGGACTTGATGTGTTTTTCAATAATTATTCTGCAATTTTTTCTGCTTTTGAAGAAATAGAAGACAATAATTTTAAAAAAGTATAATAAAGAAGCGTCTTTTTTTATGAAATAAAAGAGACATCTCCAAATTTTTCTTTTATTAAGTTATTCACAAACTTTTCTTTTATAATATCTTAAATTTTAATTACACAACTAATAGGTTATTTTTATGGAAATTCTGTCACCCTTCAAACTAAATCTTTTGATATTTCCCAGCAACCGGGTGAAATTCAAAATTTGACTAATTGTTTGAAAGAAATACAAAGAAATGCTGATACTTATCATAACAAATGGTATAAAATTGCTGTTGCATTGGCTAAAACATTTTATATTGATAAAAAAAAAAGAAGCTAGAACATGTGGTTTTCAGAAACAGAGATAGTCAAATGTGATACTATATGTAATTATTTTAAAGTTTCTATAACAATGCTTCTTGTTAATCATCTTCTCAATGAACTAGAAAACAGGTTTGATGTTATGGGCATGATTTGTTTATGTGGTATTATGTGTTCTAAATATATTTGTGCACGATTGTCATTAAAAAATAAAAAAATAATCCAGAAATGGATGCCTAACCTTAGACAACATAATACTTTACTAATCAAACACATAGTAAACTGACTTCAATAACAGGTAAAAAGATTTACAAGTCGATTCCTCATGTATAATTTTTTTTTACCTATAATGCTTTTAAATATTTTATCTGCAATGATTTCAAAAATGTGTGCGTTTTTGAATTACACAATTGTTTATAGACTTTATTTCTAACAAGAGATAACAAAATATCGAAAAAGTTTTTTTTTTATATAAGCAAAAAGTTATTTCTACTGGGTGAGATTAATATATGATATTACTTTTTTTAGTCTATATATATAAAATAAATGATTTCTGAGGCCAGTCTTAGATTCTTTATATAAAAATTCGCCGGAGACAAAACATCACAGATGTTTCGTCTCCGTCTCCAACAAATCAACCATGTTTTTAGCCACATTCGTGAAAACTAATATACTTATTGTAATGGCAGCATAATAAATTTGGAGTGGTTAAGTAAAGAAGGAAACTAATAGTTCAGTCTCCCTACATAAAAATAATAAATATCGCGTCTGTGAGATTACTTCTTACTTCATTGGTTCTTCCCACAGAAAAAAACCAAAAGTAACTTTTCTTAATCATGGGGGGATAGGGTGATTCTTCTTCCCTATGGCCAATACAATACACACGCATATAAACATTCGTGCATTTTTTTTTATTTTAATTTTTTTTATTTAAAATTAAGAAATAAAAAAATTATTTATTTTTGATAAAATACTATTTAGAAATACATCAAAATATTTTCAACAGAAAAAAGTTTAAAAAATACTCATATAGTCATGTTAAGCTTAAAAATTGTGACATTTTTGTAAATATGTTAAAAACAGTTTTTACTTTATCAGAGCAACTGAAAGATTTAAGATGATAACAACAAACCTTTTAGTTTATTATCTTTTTTGGCTTTTAAAAACTGGTTAACCATGTCTGGTAAAACTTTTAAAAAGTTCTAAAACAGAATTATAATAAAACTTTATGTGAAGTTTTTTTAAACATTTAAAAACATAGTAAAATGCATTGATATCATAAATTTATTCTATACATTATTCAATTTGTAAAATTTATGAAATGTGTTTGCAATAACTTTTAAGATTTTAAATTATAAAAAAAAAAAAACTCTTTTCCCTAAATACTAATGCCATTATTACTGCGTATGTAATTTATCAAATAATTTATAATATAATTTATTAATTAAAAAATACTAATGCCATTATTACTGTGTATGTAATTTATCAAATAATTTATAATATAATTTATTAATTAAAAAATACTAATGCCATTATTACTGTGTATGTAATTTATCAAATAATTTATAATATAATTTATTAATTAAAAAATACTAATGCCATTATTACTGTGTATGTAATTTATCAAATAATTTATAATATAATTTATTAATTAAAAAATACTAATGCCATTATTACTGCGTATGTAATTTATCAAATAATTTATAATATAATTTATTAATTAAAAAATACTAATGCCATTATTACTGTGTATGTAATTTATCAAATAGTTTATAATTTTATTAATTAAAAATAAGCAGAACTGCAATATTAGAAAGAGGACTTTTTTTTAATTTTAACCGGGGTTTTTACCAGTGATAACATGTGATCTAAAAAACCTAAACATTAAAAATTTCGAATTTTGGACAATTTTTAGACCCCCTCAAAACATTGGGAGTTTAACAATCACACAAATGTTACAAAATCATTTAATTATTTCTTAGTGGGGTTTACACAATTTAAATATTAAATCATTAAGAAATAATTATACAAAATTAGATGAATTTACAACAATTTGTATGTATCCAACAAAAGATTTATTAAAATATTAGGGTCATTCCATGCCAAAAGGACCAAAATTTTAGGATTTCAACATGGACCCCCTCAGATTTTGATGAAACTTAGTGGGTTTCTTAATATTAATGAGAAAAGCAATTCCTGAAAATTTCAGCATAAAATCTTTTGTGATTCATGAGATATGGTCGTTTGAAATTTCTGATTTTTCCAAAAATAAAACCTAAAAAATTGTTTGCAAATATAAAAAATTGGTTGTTGATGAGTCCATACACAAAACCTGCTGTTTAAGAAGTGAAAAGACATATTTTTTTAATTTCTATATATGGTAGGCTTCCAAATTTTCTGAAGTTTTCTGATAAGATACAATTTAGTAAAAAACTATAGACTTCTAAAAATGGCTGCGGCTAAAACATAGGAAAATGTGCCTCCACTTCAAACCACCAGTAACCTAGGATCAACACTGGTTTTAATAAGATTTTTTCTAATTTAATAGAATTTTTTACAGTGACTTTAGAAAAAAAATAGTGGGTACTCATGGGGAAATTACAAAATCAGAACAATAAAAACTACCCCAAATGCTTAAAAAACAATAAAAATAAAGTTGTTGTACTTTAGTTTGTATTATATATTGTAATACAAAGTATGTATGAATTTAAAAGTATTTCATATTCAGTACTAGAAAAAAGTCTTTAATTCAGCCTGAATTAAAGTCAGTTTTCAAATACCCTAGCTCTTTTCTCCCAACACACCACTAAACATACACATATAAAAACTGAAATTTAGTTTTTAATGTTTTTATATAAAACTTATTAGTAGCCTATTAAGTAAAAATGAAAAGAAAGACTTTTAGTCTAATTTACTTAATATTTAATATCATGACTATAAATTTTATAATATTTTTCCAATACATTTTCTATTCCACCCCTCCCCATTAATTTGACTTATTTGATTATCATTTTCAAATTTAGATTACAACTTATATACCAAGTTATAAGAGTTATTTGACTTGCCATCGCAATGCACAAGTTGATTATGTAATAAAGAATATTAGTATGTAATAAACAATCAATATTTCAGTTTTTTCTTGAGCTGATAGTTCATACTATTTACCAGCTGTTGATTGAACTTTTGAAGATGAAATTTTGCATAAAACGTGTGTTATTGGAACCGAGCAAATATCTTCTTTATGTGGTCAAGTAGAAGTGTTTAAGGAAATAGACTGCTTCATGAAATTTATAAGAACATCTTGATTTTCTTCAGATATTTCCACAATATTGCCTAAAAACCATTTTGCATCATAAACACAAGTTATATTAATTCCCGGTGAAAGAGAAGCAACTGGAACTATATGCAGCATTATAGGATCATTTACATTAGTATATATATCGCTAATGACACCTGTCTCATCTGTTAAGTAGATAATAATTTTAATATAAAACAATGGTGGTTTCTTGTTCCTGGAATTGTTGAACAAGTAGCATAACGTACTTATAATTACTTATAAACTCTATGCAATGTAATACAATTACATCATTTTAAGTGTATTGAAAATGCATTTCTTTGATATTTTGTCTACACCAACAAAATGTTGTTAACACCAACATAATGTTGTTAACACCAACATAATGTTATTTTGTTCGCAGTTACTATTCTCATTCGCAGTTACTATTTAAACAGAATATTTAATGCAATTTAAGGACAGCGATTGTTTTATGAAACACTGCTATAAAAATTGCCAGGGGCTATTCTAGACTGTTTTCAACAGTCTTGACTGTATTTGGGCGCCGCTTAAATTAAAATTGAGGACTTTTTTTTAACGTTTTTATGGCAAATATTGTTTTTTTTTTGCAAAAAAAATGCTGATTTTCTGCTAAAGTCTGCCGAAACTAGAGGGTACCGCCATTCAAGGTTTTTTCATAAAATAGGCCCTGATTACTAATATGACATAAAACAAGATTTTTACAATATATATTTTTAATAATTATATTACACAAAAAAGGCACAAACGCACAATTGTTAACGTTAAATATATCTATAAATCATTCATTTATTTGCAATTTGCAGTAAAACTTATAAGAAAATAAATAAAAAAAGATTTAAATTAGAAAAAAAATTGACTAAGTACAGTTGAAAGAAAAAATTTTCTTAGTTAAATACAGAAATTATTATACATTATAATATTATTATTAAAATAATATATTAAATACTTTTATTAAAATAATAAAATAAGAACTTCAATTGAAAAAATCAATTTATGAAAAAAGAATTTTCACCACCAGTAAAATAAAGTTAATTTAAACAAGTGAAGCAAAAATCTTTATAGATATAGTTTATTATAGTTTTCTTAGTATTAAATATTCAATTTAAATAGTATCTGCAAATAAGAGTTAACATTATTATTAAAATCAATATAGCTGTGTATAATATTTGTCAATGAAGCAAACTAATGGTTTCAGGGTTGTAAAAGTAGGAAAATTACAGGTTTCTATTAACATACAATAATTATTATATAAAAATTTTAACAACTAAAATTTTTATATAATTATTGTAAAATAAATTTGATACATATTTGAATATATTTTAGGCAGTAGAATTAATAATATAAAATTATTAATTAATTTAATTTAATAATTAAAACTAACTTTTAATTATCAAATTATTATCAAAAGTTAATTTAAAAACAAAGATAAAAGTTTTTTTAACGTAGTATTGTTTGAAGTATACATTTTTTAATTGTTAAAAGAAATTAAAGAAAAATTTGCTTTAAACATTTTTTTGCTTTTAAACTTTTCGCTTTAACAACTCGCTAGCAATTAAAGTAGCAATAAAAACAATAAAACTATTCTAAACACTTTTTTCAAAACTTAAATGAATTAATGAAATTTAGACATGGATTTTCAATCCTGATTATTTGTCAAACCTTGTTTTTTAAAACTATAACTTTGTTTCAACTGGTTAATCATGACCGACAAGAATTCATATTGGGAGGTCAACCAATACATATTGATATAAACTCACAAAAATATAAAGATTTAAACATAAAGTGAAGGATATAAGATACTCTTTGGATTATAATAAAAGGGGAATATTGTGTGTGTGAAACTAAAAAAAAAAGCCGAGTAAAGAATGTGAGATAATACAGCTAAAAAATTCCTTGATAATAGTAATAACATGAAAATCAGTGCATAAATAATATATTAAAAAAATACTATAGTAAGACTAAAAAAATATGTGTGTGTGTGTGTGTGTGTGTGTGTGTGTGTGTGTGTGTGTGTGTGTGTGTGTGTGTATAAAACTCAAGCACATATGATTATCACATATATACAACATACATATTTTGCAAACTCTAACGAACTTCTCTATTTTAGCTGAAGAATTTTGAAAAGATTATAAATTGCATAATAAGATTTAAAATTAATATGAAGACCATCCATAGATACTTGAATTAATTTTACGAAATCAAACAGTTCTGCTGCTTCAATTAATCTGTTAAATAAATTCTGTGAATTAGGGCGTCTGAGGAAATTTGAATCGATATATCTAGCTTTTATTACACCAGAACTTGAATTCCAGTATCTAACTTCAAAATCCATTTGTTCATTTTACTGAATAAGTATATATATTCCATTATGTAATATACATTCCAACAACATACTATCTATTATATATAAACAAAGATAGTTTATCTATAAAAGAACACAAAGCATGCAAAACGATGTAACAGACTGTTTGTGCATATGGGTGTAATGCATAAGTCTATACTGTTCATGTTGCTCGGTAGAGTCTTGTGTTGTCAGTGATCAGCATATAAGATATACATATGAACTACAGTGAGCCAGCCCAATCATACTCCAGAAAACCATGATGGATTTAAAACCTATGCATGGATTTATAACTGACTTCAGATTTTAAAAACTACCCCAAGTGTTTTTTAAAAATAAACATCTCCTTTCGCGGCGACAGCAATCTTGTTAGGAAAATAGTTGTGTTTGATGACCATAACACTAACCCTTACAAACTAGGCCCAATATTATTTAAAAATTTTATCATATAAACTTGCAGAATAATCACAACAAATATATCACCAAAAAAAAACTTACAAAATAAAATATTGACTGCAAAATAACAAGTATGCATGCAACAATGC